TTTAGACGTCCGTGTTTTTCATCCCAACGCAACCAAGTTATATTGGAAAATCATTCAAATCGTTATATGTTCGTTATATTCTTCAATCGTTATATGTTCACCATGAGAACGAAAAGAGGAGTGCATATAATGACAGAATTAATAACGCTGAACGTGGAACATTCACGCCCCTCAACAACTGGTGGCATGGGGAAAGAAGTCTCAAAGTTCGTGAAAAGGCTCGATCAGAAGATATCCGAGAAAAGTATTACTCCCTATTCCGATGCCATTAGTGGAAACCGGCTGAAGATGTCTTTCTCGCTCCTACGATCAGCTATCACAGGGTTGAGGGGAACCCGGAAGTGGAGAACAGACAACAACCAAGGCTAAAACTTCCCTCACTTTGATGTTATATTGTTTTTCTTTTGTGAATTTACTTTGTATTTTGGAACTAAATTTAAACTGTTTCCATTTGGTTTTCCATAGGTTGCCATAGAAGCTTCTTCACAAAAAATAGCCAGAAAATATTCCTACAAATTAAATTTCATAGTCTTGTAAGTTAAACTGCTGCTGTTTATGTTTGAATTTGCATTTTGATATCGGTTCCAAATAAGAATTAATTTTGTGAAAAAAAAACAATTTTCGATATAATGACTGCTGAATCTTGCTTCGAAATTGCAGTTTGTAAGTTCTTTTTGTTCTCATCGATTAGGTTGTTCACGTACTTAATTTTTGTGAATGCCGGTATTTAATTATGTTTGATTTTCCATAGATGGCAAATTTTTTTCCAATCGAGAAACAAGGAAATGTGACATTCGACCAGAATGTCTCAAAAGGCAAGTTCGATTTCGAATTTTCTATATGGCAGTTGAGCGAGAAAAATGTTGGTTTTAACACATTAACGGTGTTAATCGTTCATTTTGGCGAACGAGGAATGGATAATTTGGACTGGCATGTTAATTTTTAAAATTTCGTTTGAAAAGAAAGACACGTTACGACGTCGAAATTTCGCGACAACTGAAAACTGAAAGAAAAACAGAACAACAGAAATCATTGAGAAAAACGGTGAACGGCAATTGTGCGAGACAGATCGAGATTGAAACAGAAAATAACTATCAGAAGACCATTCCGAGTTGTAACGATTGTGCCGCTACAATTGTTAAAACACGAATCCCGAGAACCAGGAAGGGTATTGAGACGACGTGTCCAGCCTTCCGGGAAGAAATAAAACTGTTATTTGCCCGATTTCCGGAATCCGGAGGGGTCTCGGGAGAAAACTGCAACTCTCTGTTTATAAAAATTTTTAGCTTCTGGTCATGTCCTGAATTAAATTAATAACATCTAAAGTCGTTTTCAGATTAGGAGAAGCTAGGCGTTGAGGGAAAGGGTTGATCCAGCTTCGATTGAGATGAACATTTTTATCTACTGAAAAAAAAAACAATAGTAATATGATAAATATGTAGTAGCCCTGTTTTTAGGAGTGACCTCGTGGTCTGGGGATACTGAGACCCAGCCATGAGCTCACTGTTTCTGCATGTAATTAAGTTAATTAGAGCGTTCTGATCGAAGCCGGAAACAGTAACGTTTTTGTCGACCCGATGTTAGAAAGACCACCAAGAGAACTGCCTTTGGCCAAGACGGTGAAAAGCATAAGGAGCTGTGTTTAGACGCTAGCCAGTCGTTTTAGAACCTAGCTTTATTTTCCGTCGATAAGTACTTCCGGGCGAATGTTACAAAACCAGAAGTACCTTGTATTCCAGTTTAAGATCGGATGAAGATACAAATTTTCTTGTCACAGCAAGCCTTATTTGCCCATCACAGTTGTTTTTCAACTGATATTATTAGATGGGATGTCAAACTGTTTAAAAAAATTGCTGAAAACTGGCGATGGTTTTTGACAAAAGCGTTCATTAATGGTAACCGGATTTTGATTGTCAGTGGTTTTTTAATCAATTGTAATGATTTGATCCCGCAAGCCATGTAGCAGTTGTCTGCTTATGTCACTTGAGGTTAAGAAGAATGAAGAAAAGGACCTATAACCATTGGCGCAAGGGTCAGGGACACTATCTCTTGTGCTTTCATGCCTCATTCAGGAGGCAATTCGGTTCGCTTAAGATATGAGACTACAAAATCGTGTTACAGTTTAAAAGCCACTGCCAAACCCCACTCTAGAAATACAAAACGTCCGTGTGGCAGGTCTCTAATTACCTACAACACGCGACCGCCATAAAAAAAACAGGGTTCGAAGCTCAAGTATACCATTAGTTTTTATTGGACAGTGGATCTTTGATCCATTTCAGATGGATCAACCTAGAACTCAGTCTAGATGGATCAACCTGAAAAATAAAAAAAGTACTCACAAAGTGACGCGACTCTAGAGCCAGGTAAAAAGTATAAAAGCAACAACTCTAGTAAGTTTTTATAATCAGTAATTTTAAATCAAGAAGTTAAGTTTTCTCAACCATTGGGCAGCTTCACTCGTCTGCCTGCCCAACCAAGGTTTCCTCTCGCCCAATGATGATGCTCCCGTAGGACTTCGCGTTGTCGTCTATCAGGAAGAAGACAACTCTAATCGAATTGTCGATTGCAGTAAGATTGCGAACAGCAATTTTACCCTATTCTGATTTTTATCAATTTTCCCGCAATTCTGATCTTTTTTCCTCTGATAAAATTAACTTCTGATTTTCAGTTGTCGCGAGAAACTTGTCATGACATGGTCGATTCGATCTTTTCAAAAATTACTTTTTCCATAAATTCAAGGGTAAACTTCCAACTCAAAGTCCAATTTCCAAATATGACCGACTGGCACACTTTTTTTTTAAATATAATTTTAATTTCTCCCAGAGAGGTTAGAAATTGATATAGAATTACCCCCAATGCTTTAATTTCTGGCTTTTCTTCTTTTGTTAGCATCTAATACTATACTGAATTTTGAGTTGGGGTTTCTGCCTTGATTTTTTTGCTAAATTTTATCAACTTAGTTTTTTGTGTTGAGTTTCAATATTACGAGGCCAAACTGTGCACTGGATAGGAGCACAATTTTGTATCTGTATGTTTCTGGATTCCAGAGACAAGTCTTTAAACATGTGAAAATTTTGTCGGAACGATCAAAAGAAAGTAAAGAACAAAAGAACAACAAAGGGAGGGTCCTTGTTGCGGAAACCGCTTACAATGCACAAAATGCACAGTTTGGCCTCGTAATGAAAGAAGGTTTTGTGAAGTACAGAGACAAGTTCTAATAGGATTTTTTGCAATAGCTGTACAGCATTTTTGATGTCATTATCGTCACAAAATAGAAGTGTGTCATCTGCATATTTTACCAATTTGCAAGATTCAGTTAAAGTTTTGTTCAAGTCATTTATGTATAGGTTGGAAAATAAGGGTCCTAAAATTGTACCTTGAGGTACGCCCTGGTGAAGTAAGATCTAATTGGATTCAGAAATTTTTACTACATTTTTCTGTTGTCTGTTTTTATAAAGCTATGAATCATCTATTTGCAGACTCCGAGAATCCCAAAACATCCAGTTTAGTCTTTAAATGTTCGTGGTTGATAGAATCGAAAATTTTTGATAGATCTAATAAAAATACGGCAACATATATGTTTTTATCTATTGATTTGCGGAAAAACTCAGTGCAATAAAGGATTGCGTCCATTGTTGAAAATGCGGCTCTAAAGACAAACTTGGAAGATAGGCTGGAAGATCAGACAATCCGGTTGGTTTATTTGCGTTTAAGTTTGTTAATTCGTGTTTACCTCCACTTTCAGTTACAAACCGGAAACAAAACTTTTGTTTACGTTACTTTTTGATCCTTGTGTTTTTGAATGTTGGATCAACTACGTTTTTTTTCTCAAAAAAACATCCGAGTCTAGAAAGCTTTTTGAAGCTGTTTGTTATTGTTTCAACAAATTTATTTTTAGTGGTGAGATTTGGTTCGCTAATTTTTTCGAGTTTTTTTTGTTCATTTACTAAAAACACAAACTAAACTTGGGATAAATTCAATGGAGTTTAATTTTTGTTAGATTTTTTTTGTCTCAACTGAAAAACTCAGAATGCAAGTGGAAAATCATTGTGTTCATTGGAGATTCAAGAGGTTGCTAAAGCTTATGCAAAATAAGTGAAGCAAGCACCATTTGATTTGGGGCAGGAAAAAGCTATAAATTTTCTAGAAAAAAGGTTTCTTTTAGGATTACCTGTCAATGAAGGGTTTGTTTTTTGAAAAAACAATACCGAACCTAACTACTAGAAACTTAACAGTCAGACAATTTCAACATAATGAATAAAACTGACTTGATGGTGTTAAATTCTCAGAAAGAAACTAACAAAAAACTGTTGAATCTGAAAAATGTAACGACATGAGCGAACATCTTTACAATAAATTAAGGTGAACAGATAGTCAACCGATTCTGATCTACGGTTTAGCAAAACTACACAAGAAAACAAACTACAGCGCCCGGTCTTTTCTCTAACTGGAAGTTCAAATGACAACTTGAACGAAACATTAGGAGTGAACTTAGAATCGAAAGTAGTAGATGTTTCAGCTGATCAAAGGGGGGTGCAGGGCAGACCCCAAGATTTAACATACGTTACATTGTTCCGGATCGCCACGCTTTGTTATAGCATACAAGAGTCAACAAAAGTAATAGTTGTTGGAGCTGATCAGTGGATGAGGATGCTAGGCGGACCCCATGTATTAACATATGTTGGGTATTTCGGATCCGCCATGCTAAGTATTAACATAGAAAAATCTTCAAGAAATTATCAAAGGAAATAGATTTCCTAAAATTTTTGGGTTGTGTAGTGATAAGAGAATGGTAAAACAAATTGGTGTTTTTTTGTGGTTTTTGTGTAAAAACGTCTAATTTTTTCGCAAAAACCTCGGCGCACGTTAACTTATAGGTAAATGTCATTGGTGCATTAAGTGTGAAACGTAGAATGAAAGTGTTTCATTTAGTTGTTTTTTGTTGCATTGTAAGTCAATGGTAAGATTTTTTTGCACAAAAAACTGACTTTTTTTTGCAAAAACTTATTAAAAAACCATTAAAAATTTAAAAACACGATCAGATTTAATACCATTGGAGCAAAAACTGTTTGATTAGATAATTTTACTCTTTAGCACAGTTTACTCTTTATTTTGCTGGAAATGCAGCTGAAACTTTCAAGTACTGATAAAATTGTCAAGAGTCATAATTTGAAGACTGGTACGTTCAATTCGTTCAAATTAGAATCAGCATCTGTCTAAATATATTTTTTTGCTCAATGTCTACTTCATTAATTTTCTGTCACAGAGGTTGTCTTCTTTGTGACCCACAACAGTGCAAATAATATAATTTAGCATCAATTTTGAATTTTTTTGAAAGATAAACCAAAGCTCGATTGAATTTAAATTAGGAAAATTAAACTCCTAACTCCCAGGTCAACAAATGATTTCTATGAGTGCTCAATTCTCTGCTTATTTACCATAAACACAAAATTTATCCAAGTGTCTTATCACAATTACCTCTTGTATTCATAAATGAAGCAAATTTGGAGGAGTTTTCTAAGTCAAATTTCAAAAGAAGTATCTGTTTCTGAAATACATACGAATGGCAGGTGTGCAAACTTTTCTAATAACTTGTTGAATTTATTTGACTGATTCAATTGTTCTAGTACTCAATGAGTCCTAATTGATTTTAAAGTTGCTTCGACAACGGAGATATATAGTAATTTATATTTGACATTTCAAGTGATTAAATAGCTTGAATGGAGAATTGTGAATAATGTTTTATCTATACTCCTCTATCAGAACTGTTTTTGCATGAATACCAAGAAGATTGTAAAAATTTATCAAAAACGAGTCCAACTTGGAAACTTTAAGTTTCCCATATTTTTACTTAACTCATTAAAAGATAGAAACAAAGTGCACAATGATAATTTTTCGATGTCACTATTTTTTGACGTATGACACAGCCTCCCCATGTTGCAAGGGTCAGGGACACTATCTCTTGTGCTTTCATGCCTCATTCAGGAGGCAATTCGGTTCGCTTAAGATATGAGACTACAAAATCGTGTTACAGCTTAAAAGCCACTGCCAAACCCCACTCTAGAAATACAAAACGTCCGTGTGGCAGGTCTCTAATTACCTACAACACGCGACCGCCATAAAAAAAAACAGGGTTCGAAGCTCAAGTATACCATTAGTTTTTATTGGACAGTGGATCTTTGATCCATTTCAGATGGATCAACCTAGAACTCAGTCTAGATGGATCAACCTGAAAAATAAAATAAGTACTCACAAAGTGACGCGACTCTAGAACCAGGTAAAAAGTATAAAAGCAACAACTCTAGTAAGTTTTTATAATCAGTAATTTTAAATCAAGAAGTTTAGTTTTCTCAACCATTGGGCAGCTTCACTCGTCTGCCTGCCCAACCAAGGTTTTCTCTCGCCCAATGATGATGCTCCCGTAGGACTTCGCGTTGCCGTCTATCAGGAAGAAGACAACTCTAATCGAATTGTCGATTGCAGTAAGATTGCGAACAGCAATTTTACCCTATTCTGATTTTTATCAATTTTCCCGCAATTCTGATCTTTTTTCCTCTGATAAAATTAACTTCTGATTTTCAGTTGTCGCGAGAAACTTGTCATGACATGGTCGATTCGATCTTTTCAAAAATTACTTTTTCCATAAATTCAAGGGTAAACTTCCAACTCAAAGTCCAATTTCCAAATATGACCGGATGGCACACTTTTTTTTAAAATATAATTTTAATTTCTCCCAGAGAGGTTAGAAATTGATATAGAATTATCCCCAATGCTTTAATTTCTGGCTTTTCTTCTTTTGTTAGCATCTAATACTATACTGAATTTTGAGTTGGGGTTTCTGCCTTGATTTTTTTGCTAAATTTTATCAACTTAGTTTTTTTGTGTTGAGTTTCAATATTACTGGATAGGAGCACAATTTTGTATCTGTATGTTTCTGGATTCCAGAGACAAGTCTTTAAACATGTGAAAATTTTGTCGGAACGATCAAAAGAAAGTAAAGAACAAAAGAACAACAAAGGGAGGGTCCTTGTTGCGGAAACCGCTTACAATGCACAAAATGCACAGTTTGGCCTCGTAATGAAAGAAGGTTTTGTGAAGTACAGAGACAAGTTCTAATAGGATTTTTTGCAATAGCTGTACAGCATTTTTGATGTCATTATCGTCACAAAATAGAAGTGTGTCAACTGCATATTTTACCAATTTGCAAGATTCAGTTAAAGTTTTGTTCAAGTCATTTATGTATAGGTTGGAAAATAGGGGTCCTAAAATTGTACCTTGAGGTACGCCCTGGTGAAGTAAGATCTAATTGGATTCAGAAATTTTTACTACATTTTTCTGTTGTCTGTTTTTATAAAGCTATGAATCATCTAAATTGCAGACTCCGAGAATCCCAAAACATCCAGTTTAGTCTTTAAATGTTCGTGGTTGATAGAATCGAAAATTTTTGATAGATCTAATAAAAATACGGCAACATATATGTTTTTATCTATTGATTTGCGGAAAAACTCAGTGCAATAAAGGATTGCGTCCATTGTTGAAAATGCGGCTCTAAAGACAAACTTGGTTTGGCTGAGCAGGTTATTAGATAATAAGCATTCATTGACTTGTTTGTATAATAGTTTCTTAGAAACTTTAGAGAGTGCACCTATTTTGGAGATTGGTCTATAGTTCTTTGCTGTTTGTGCGTCATCTTTTTTGTATATTGGGCTAAAAATTGCTCTTTTAAGTCTAGTTGGAATCAAAATGAGCTTAATAAATGAATTTATAAGAAATGTAAGGTGTGGATATTTTTCATTAACCCAATCTTTCAGAGCCCAGGCTGGAAGATCAGACAATCCGGGTGGTTTATTTGCGTTTAAGTTTGTTAATTCGTGTTTACCTCCACTTTCAGTTACAAACCGGAAACAAAACTTTCGTTTACGTTACTTTTTGATCCTTGTGTTTTTGAATGTTGGATCAACTACGTTTTTTTCTCAAAAAAACATCCGAGTCTAGAAAGCTTTTTGAAGTTGTTTGTTATTGTTTCAACAAATTTACTTTTAGTGGTGAGATTTGGTTCGCTAATTTTTTCGAGTTTTTTTTGTTCATTTACTAAAAACACAAACTAAACTTGGGATAAATTCAATGGAGTTTAATTTTTGTTAGATTTTTTTTGTCTCAACTGAAAAATTCAGAATGCAAGTGGAAAATCATTGTGTTCATTGGAGATTCAAGAGGTTGCTAAAGCTTATGCAAAATAAGTGAAGCAAGCACCATTTGATTTGGGGCAGGAAAAAGCTATAAATTTTCTAGAAAAAAGGTTTCTTTTAGGATTACCTGTCAATGAAGGGTTTGTTTTTTGAAAAAACAATACCGAACCTAAGTACTAGAAACTTAACAGTCAGACAATTTCAACATAATGAATAAAACTGACTTGATGGTGTTAAATTCTCAGAAAGAAACTAACAAAAAACTGTTGAATCTGAAAAATGTAACGACATGAGCGAACATCTTTACAATAAATTAAGGTGAACAGATAGTCAACCGATTCTGATCTACGGTTTAGCAAAACTACACAAGAAAACAAACTACAGCGCCCGGTCTTTTCTCTAACTGGAAGTTCAAATGACAACTTGAACGAAACATTAGGAGTGAACTTAGAATCGAAAGTAGTAGATGTTTCAGCTGATCAAAGGGGGGTGCAGGGCAGACCCCAAGATTTAACATACGTTACATTGTTCCGGATCGCCACGCTTTGTTATAGCATACAAGAGTCAACAAAAGTAATAGTTGTTGGAGCTGATCAGTGGATGAGGATGCTAGGCGGACCCCATGTATTAACATATGTTGGGTATTTCGGATCCGCCATGCTAAGTATTAACATAGAAAAGTCTTCAAGAAATTATCAAAGGAAATAGATTTCCTAAAATTTTTGGGTTGTGTAGTGATAAGAGAATGGTAAAACAAATTGGTGTTTTTTTGTGGTTTTTGTGTAAAAACGTCTAATTTTTTCGCAAAAACCTCGGCGCACGTTAACTTATAGGTAAATGTCATTGGTGCATTAAGTGTGAAACGTAGAATGAAAGTGTTTCATTTAGTTGTTTTTTGTTGCATTGTAAGTCAATGGTAAGATTTTTTTGCACAAAAAACTGACTTTTTTTCGCAAAAACTTATCAAAAAACCATTGAAAATTTAAAAACACGATCAGATTTAATACCATTGGAGCAAAAACTGTTTGATTAGATAATTTCACTCTTTAGCACAGTTTACTCTTTATTTTGCTGGAAATGCAGCTGAAACTTTCAAGTACTGATAAAATTGTCAAGAGTCATAATTTGAAGACTGGTACGTTCAATTCGTTCAAATTAGAATCAGCATCTGTCTAAATGAAGCAAATTTGGAGGAGTTTTCTAAGTCAAATTTCAAAAGATGTATCTGTTTCTGAAATACATACGAATGGCAGGTGAGCAAACTTTTCTAATAACTTTTCTAAAGTCCTAATTGATTTTAAAGTTGCTTCTACAACGGAGTTATATAGTAATTTATATTTGACATTTCAAGTAATTAAATAGCTTGAATGGAGAATTGTGAATAATGTTTTTTTTTATCTAATTCCTCTATCAGAACTGTTTTTGCATGAATACTAAGAAGACTTGTAAAAATTTATCAAAAACAAGTCCTTTTTGCCTCTAATTGATTTTGAAATTAGCTTGGAAACTTTAAGTTTCCCATATTTTTTACTTAACTCATTAAAAGATAGAAACAAAGTGCACAATGATAATTTTTCGATGTCACTATTTTTTGACGTTTGACACAGCCTCCCCATGTTGTATATTGCTATTTTTTAAACCCTCCTAGAGATGTCGAACTCTGGTCCATTGTTGATTCTCAGAAACAGAACTGTCTTCATATATAGGTACGAGTGCAAGGTTTACAGCATCGTGAGTAACAGTATTCCGGAAAACTGAGATTTTTTTACTTCTTTTTCATCAAGATATATTTTGCTGTTGCTTCTCAATTATACCCAGTTTAT